CAAGGTCAAGTGGCCAGTGATGCAGAAGAGAAGACATTAATTACTCTTTTCAGTAGAGATATCATACGCTACCATTTCTGAGAGTTCAAAGGAGGATCAGAAATAAATTAAGACAAAAGCCTGAGTGTGACGTGTGAGTAGTCTTCTTTTGAGCCGAGCATGTGAGGGATATGCTCTGCCAAGGGAAAAAGAACAGGAGCATTGGTCAGTGATGCCAGTGCTCCATCAAGGAGCTGGCAGAGGACTTGGATTTTGCTGGCTGGAATAGGCAAAGGGGTTTTCCACTTTTGAGCCTTATTTCTGTGAGAAGTGTCTTTGGCTCCATGACTGTCCCGTAAGATGGGATTTTGTTGATTTTTCTGATGGATGTTGCTGCTGAATGACTGTGAAAAAGAAAATAATCCTGGAAGCATCTAACTTGGTGTCTCTTCATTGATAGTGCCTGGCTCCATTAGGAGTGATTTATCCATGACTGTCCATGGCACCTGCATACATCATTGCTGTGTTACAGTAAGATGACTGCAGATACAACTAGTACTACATCACCTTGGAATGGTCATATCAGTTATGCAAATGCTTGAAATCTCACCACAGTTATATTGACTCTTCATTTCCAGTCTCCTGCTTAAAAGCTTCTTTTATGCCTGGATTACCCAAGTCCTGTTGAGCTCTGTAGGCGTCACCTTAAGCAGCATTTTAATGCTCACTTTGATTGACATTACTAAATGGCGCTTGGTTTCTAACTGTAAATCAAGCCAAATTGAGATATTTGCATGAGAGATGAGAGTTGATGAGTGTCCTGGTTTGAGGTAAAACAGAACCAATTTTCTGTTCAGTAATTTTACTTTTCAGCTATGCCTCTTCTAACTAAATTAAATATCTGAAATTAGTGGCATATTTTTCAGACAGTGTCGGCTCCTCGCAGAGGTAAGACGTGATGCTTATAATTAATACCAAGGAACGGTATGCAGAGAGGCTCCTGCTTATACTTATTGCTATAACACCCGTGGCCAGCTAACTTTGTTTTATGTCCCGCTGGAGGGTCAGAAGCAGAAAAGCGTAGAGAGGTCCCACCTGTGGGGAGGAGCGGGCAGGACAGGTGACCCAAAACTCACCAACAGGATATTCTATCCTGTCTGCCTCATGAACAGTATGAAAGCTGAGGGATCAAAGGAGTCAGCCTCTTTCTGTAATGGCCGGTGTCTGTGGAGAACTCTGTCTGTTCTTCTGCCTTTTATCCTGATCCGTGTGTTCCTGAATCCAGTTCCTGAGTTCGGTTCCTGTCCTTTGCTGAGTCCAGTCTGGGACTTTCCCTGTGCCTTCTGGTGATACGATTGTCGTTCTGGGAGCTCGATACAGTTTTGTATATATTATATATATTTCATTATTTTCACATGAATATTATTATATTTTCTTTTATTATGTTATTAATAATATTTCGTTGTATTATATTTCATACCAAAGTAGCTTGGTTTCTTTTAAATTCGTCTCTCCTTCTCTCATTCTTTTCTTACTTGGGAGAGAAGTTAGAGAGCATCTATCGTTCATTTTAGTGGCCAGCCCAGTGCATACCACGGCAGGGAGGTTGGTTTCTGGCTGTGTTAAGAGAGAGATGTTGCATAAAACTGGAAACCATTAAGAGCTCCTGGAGGAAAACGTGTGAGTGTATATCCCTGTTGGCAGTTTTAGACTGGAAGCATCCTGGTAACAGGAGCACTGTAGCGTCTGTTGAACTGCACTCTCTGCCAGACCAGGTGTGCAGAGCTGGTGGTAGGACAGTGGCAAGCAGTAATAGTGTAGGAAGCAGAATGGCAATTCCTTACTTTCTTTTCAGGGCTAGCTCTCAGACTGAGAGGAACAGATTGGGAGGAGGCTGCCAACCATATTGCTGCTTCTGCACAAACAAAAGGGATAAAGACGTCTTCCAGAGTAAAAGCGTGTCATTTAGCTTTATGTTTAGGGATTGACTGCGGTGGTCTAAGTGCTGTATGAAAACAAACTAACCAACTTCTTTTTACCTTTTCATCCTTATTTATATTTAATATAATTAGGCTGATTTGTCCCCTCGTCTACCTTCCCATGGCTGCTTAGTGCAACTGAAGAGGCTGGCCTTCCGAGGAACCCCAATGTAAAAATGTGGGTTTAGGAATGAGTCAGCTTTGCTTCACTCAAATGTCTATCCATTCTCTTTCATGGTTCAGTAGGTCTGTACATACCATCATTCATTGCTTGGAAACTATTGTTCAGCTAAAATGACACCTTTGGTCAACTGACATTTTGAAAATCCCTGATTTATTTTTATCTGTATTAATACAATTACCTCATCCTTTCTGATCAGTAGATTTCAAAGCTCTCGACTGTAGCTTGGTACATGGGGGAGGAAGGTTTGTTCCGGGTGACAGAGAGGACAAAGCCACCCAGGGTTGGTGAGCTCCAGTCCCAGGACCTGGATTCCTGAGCCCGTCACTTAAAGGTGACCTCCCTCTTGCACCCAATTCAGCAAACCTGCGCAGAGCACAACTTTCAGCTTGGTTGTTCATCCAGCACACACATTGAGTAGCTGTGCATATTACTGGAAGGATTGGAAGAGGTAATTCGGGCAGAGAAAGAAGAACAACGTTCACCGGCGGGGAGATCTGGCGGCACCAAAGGCATATTTGCACAGGCTGTGGGGCACAAAGCCGAGCAGCGATGTGAAGCATCTTTGAGTTTTGTGTGGAAAAGGGGCTTTACGCAAGCTCCATTTATGGCAATGCTGCACAGCCGCTGGGTGCGGCCTGTTAATTCCACACATGAGCAGATTTGTTGTCCTCCCCCACCACAGGGTGTCTGCCCAGAGCTGGACCAGCCTGAGAGCTGCTGGCCGTCTCGGTGGCATTCTTCAACACCACTCTTAGCCCTAAATCTGTCTTACCTCATGGTCGTCAAGAGCTTACAACTTGCTTTTGGCTTGCTGACCATCATTTTTGCCAGGCCAGCAACAGGCGGCTCTTCCCCTAGTCTGGAAAGCAAGGTTTCTCAAAAGGACTCATTTATTCTTACTGACTAGAAGGATCACAGAGGAGGACCAAGAAAAAAATAACTGCGGTGTGCTGTCTGGCTTCCAGGTTAGTCTGTGCACTTGACTGATGAATAGCTCAGCAGTTCACAGTGCCCACGCCATCAGTATTTCATCTGTGAGGACAATGTGCTGTGCCGGCTTGGGAGTGACATATTATTGGGTTCAGTGACATCTGTGAGACTCTGAAGCACCTGACACTTGCAGTTTGTCATCCTCTTCCTTTTCAAAATAGGTAATGGATGGCGTAACCCACCCTTTGCAGCAGTTTTTCCCTAACTGATTTACTCAGCAGCTTGTAAGGTTTTGAGTGGCAAGAATTTATAGTCTCTTTCTTGGGAAGGAAGACACTTTCTTACTGCAAGTAATGTCTTCCACAGCTATTCTCATTATCTGCGTTAGTGCAGATCCTCACTTGTCAGCCTCAGCGAACTGCTAATGGCAATGCATTCCCAAAACTAATTATGGTGGATATGTGCGTGCACGAGTATTTACGCCTGCTTCTTTTTATTTTCAATCTTGTATCATGAGAGAGGTCACACGGAGGTGAGCTTCCACTTACGTTTCTTATTTAGGGTGATGAGAACAATGGCCCTACAATATTTTTACATTTCTTCTCCAGCCCTTTCCTGATGCGTTTTAACGTCTTGCCTGCTCTTTGCAGCCATGCCCGAATGCTGAGCAGGTGCTTTGTTATTGACAACCTAAAAAAAAAATAAGTCTTCCTTCTGAATGGTTGTCACCCAGAAAAAGACACACCAGAAATATCTTCCAATATGTATTTTTCAACTCTTTATCTGCTACCACATTACTGATTTTTGCCTCTTTTAAAAATTATTTTTGTGCCAAAATCTAAACATTGCTGTGTGAGTTTCCTTCCTGTTCCAGATCTCTGATTAGTATCGTGTAGATCTGTGAGCGGCTACTGGGGCATCATACTCTTCGCATTTTGCTGTTATCAAATGCTAGGATTCTTTGTGTGGTTTTTAAGTTATGACAGACCATTTCTACGCAATCTCTGATTTTACTTTCTTTTGTTTTGCTAGATACATCTCCAATGAATGAAAACTGAGTCTCGGGGTTAAGCAATTTTGGGACAAAGGACTTTCTCTTTAAAATATATACTTTTAACCAAGATGCTTCAAATTTATTCACACATGCTGGAAAATACGTGTTTTAAAACACTTTTATTCAAAAATACTTTAAACATTTTCTATGTTAATTAACATACAGAATTGCTATCCTGAATTACAGTGAAGAAGTAATTCAAAATGTCTCTATGTATATACACCTACACATACGCATATGTGGCAACGTGGATACCTAAGAGAAAACGTGTCTATAACACAATGTAATGCATTTGCTTTGCGTCTTTGTGCATATAAAGAATGTACTTTGTGTCCTTTTTCGTAATGACAGAGGGTGTATCCTCTCCCTGAGATGAAACATTTAAGAGTAGCAGGTACTGTTAATAGCTTGCTAAGAGTCAGAATGAACAAGTCCTACACAGATTAACTGTGGAATAAAAAAATATAGTAATAACCATCCTTCTTGAATAAATGAATATATTTTCCACATGCACATGCTGATTACAAGCAGTTGTCTCTGCTTTGCCCCTCCATGCAGGCCAACCTCCATCCTGATGCTGGTGAAAATGAAGCAGCACGGCAGAGTGCTTTGTGGAGAGCTGAGGCTGCTGTTGCATCTGAGCAGTGATTTGTAATCGCAGCAGATAAAACTTGCACGTCCATCTCCCTCGTTTCACATCTAGGACACCTTCTGTCATAATATTCAGAAAATCTAGAGGCAGAAATCGAAGCTGAAGTAAGTAATTATCCGGCACTAGTTTATTCTTAAATGCATGTGCATTTGCTTAGCTTTTCAAAGTTCCTGCTTTTGTCAGTTTGCTTGCTGGCAACTTCAGTGGTTGGTCTGAAAGACATTACAGAGCGTCTTGATCCCCTGTAGATTGAGTGTGGAATGAATTGGTAGATTCAGTGTGGTAAGTGATGTGAACTCCACACCACTTGCAAATATCTCCAGGTAACCGCCAGTTCTTAAAGAGCATCTTCACGTACTTCTTAAATTTTTCCCCCATGAAGAAGTAGATGACTGGATTGAGGCAACAGTGAAAAAGGCCAAGGATTTCTGTTACCTGGAAAGCATAGTCCAGATTCCTGCTCATTTGGCAGTCTCTAATGACTCCCGTGATTTCCAGCAGTTGTAAGAAAATAACAATGTTGTAGGGGGTCCAAAAGAAGAAAAACATGATCATGACAGCAAAGATCATCCTCACAGCCTTATTCTTTTTCTCATTTCTACAGTGAACTAATGTTTTAATGATCATGGAGTAGCAAAATGTCATAACTATAAAAGGGATTAGGAGCCCTAAAATGTTGATTTCCAAAGTGGAAAAAAGTTTCCATGTCGTGAAATTGCTTTGATATCTCAGCTTGCAGGTAGTATAATTATGTTCATTAAAAGATTCTCTAAATACAAGTTCTGGAACTGAGGCTGAGAGAGCTACTAGCCATACAACAAAGCTAGTAATCAAGCCATGGAAGGCAGTCCTTGCTTTCAAGGAAAACACTGCACGAACAATTGCAAGGTATCTGTCTATGCTCATAAGCATAATAAAAAATATCCCACTGTAAAACCCAACCAGGTAGATCCATGAAATTATTTTACACCAGGGAGTTCCAAAAACCCATTGGTCTATTGTGAAATAAGACCAGAACGGCAAGGATAAAACAAAGAGCAGATCTGAGATGGCGAGGTTTAGTAGGTACACATCAGTCATGCTCTTCAGCCTTTTGTATTTTAAGAGGACCACAATGACCAGAATGTTTCCTGTGAGTCCAACCAGGAATACTAGGGTATATAGGACAGGTAGGAAGGAGGCTGCAAACCTCTTGACGCTTTCCTTACTGCATGGTTTTGGAGCATCATTATAATTATCATAATAGTCGTAGAAGGTTGAGATTTCAACTTCAGAGGACTCTGTACTTGAAGAACTCATGTTTTTTCCCCGGTTCCTGAGAAGGAAAGAATATAAAAATGTCAGTGAGTTTCAGTCCGTGAAGACCGTGTGGTTACTCCACAGGCCTGAATCACTAGCAATGACTAACTTGCAGTTCCAGCACACTTCTCATTAAAGGTTCTCAAACACTTCTTAAGCATTACGGGATGTGTATGCACACTCACAAAATTAACATGCACGTGCTTAGTCCGTGCAACATTGTGCAACGTGAATGTCAAGCACATAGAGCACTGTTCAAATGGCGGAGAGGAAAGCAAATAGGAATGAAAGCTATGGACCACAGACATCAAATCAGAGAGGGATAATTCCTGTGTGGAATAAAGTAAAAAGCAAAGCCACTATTCATAGCAGTTCAGGATTTCACCCACCTTTCCAATCAGGCAAACATCACTGTTAAGAAGACAGTAACAAAAATGCATCTGACTCTTCCTTCTAATGAAATTATGCTTACTGAAAGATGACACGAGTTTTCAGCAAGTGCTGTCTTCACTGGCTAAATCAATAACAGGAATTTGTCATTTTTGTATGTATGGTCTTTTCTAATAGGCAGAGACAGAGTTTTAAGTGATGTTACCTTGAGGTGAGTAACTTGGGCACAGTGCAAACATATTGCTGTTGTATTACTGTGTGCGTTTACATCACAGCAAGTGTCATTATTTTAGCCTAACATACCAGAATTTTTCTAACCCTGAGTTATGTCCTTCCCCTTTGTCCTTATTTTTATGCATGGAAAGCAGAAGAAAAGTGAGTATCATTGCTTTATTTGCCTTTGCACTGTACATTGCTGCTACATAACAACGAACGTTGACTATCATTAACCTGACCCTGACTGTGTGTGGTCCGAGGCGTGACACCTCTCCAGCCTATAGTTCTGTTGCATTATACATAGAGAGGAATTTAATCAGAATTACAAGTCACAGGGACAAAACTGTTTGACACGAGTGGTCTAGAGATGACAGCTTTGCAACAACTGCACCTAGACATACCTGAATCTAATCTAGGTTCAGCATAATATACTTATATATTTAAAACTGAAAACACACGCTCACATAACACACATACACCTACTTCTGAAGATGCAGGAGTTCTTAAAACTGCTTTAAAAATTACCTGAACAGCAACAGAAGGTAAATGAAAAAGCATCACAGTCATACATGATGAGTGTACATGATACACAACTGTTTCAGCAACTGCATTTTGTGAATTTTACCTTTTCTCCTCCTTTCTTCTCGGATGATGTGAAGAAGCTTCTTTGCTCTAAGGGTGCAGTATCACTTGCTTCTCACCAGGTAGCTCTGTCAGGGAGGTGCTGCCTACACGGCAATATCCAGCAGCTGCAAAAAGCAGATGTCATTAGGTAGCTGTGTCTCTTAACGGAAACTTTGTACTTCCTTACAGATTGTATCTCAAGTGCTTCTCTCCTCAATGCTCATCAGAGATGGTCCCTTAAACTCAGAAATAGAATTAAACATATCTTATAACGTGTAAGGAAATGCGAAATTTCCACTGAGAGCCTGATTACCGAGTTAAAGCAGCTTCACCTTACCCCATGATCATTAAAAGTAGATGCCAGTAAGCAGCTGTCATTCAACAGAAACCTTGTTCTTTCTTACGGGTTTTAAACTGCATCTTAATCTCAGAAAAAAAATAATCAAAGGATCATCTGTAGTGAGCAGAGAGGAGGAAGGCACTTGGTGTGTGTGTGGGAGGTGTGTTTCTAGTCCTTGTCTGCCAGATAACTAATTTTGCAACTTACACTATGTAATTGTAGAAGAAAAGAGCTGTATAGGTTTAGTGCAGGGAAGGCTCCTTTTATTCATTGTTGTTTGATCTTCCTAACTCCTACTTATCTTGCTAAGAAAAGAAATGAAGGTATGTTAATTCACGCTACCTTTTTGCTTGATGTCTCCCGTAGCAGGTTTTATGTACAGCAAATCTACCTCCTACTACTGACTACAAATGGTAATAGTGGTCAAAATATCAAATAAGAAGTAGGAAGCATGTGTGTGTCTGTGTGGTGTAAGGGCAGAGGGTGCGGAGGTTTACTGTTATTCTTGTCACAGCAGGAAGCTCAGCAGCTTCTATGAATTTCTCCTGAGAGTGTGGTGGGCCCTATCTGTCTTTTGGGGGATTCTGGGATGGGAGAAGAAAGCACAGAGGACATGCACTAGTCAAATGGGATGGGTTTGAGTCCCGCCAACAGAACAGCTGTGCTAGCAGCTGGCAAGTGCTGCTCTCCTCTATGTCCCAGAAAAGGCCAGCCAAGCAGAAGTAAAAGCCATTTCTCAACAGGAGGGCTGCTTGCTTGTTAGCAGGAGAAACTGAAGAGTCACAATGAGAAGTAGAAACAAGAAAGCTACAGGAGGTGGTTGGGAGGGTAGGAAGGATCATAGATCTCAATCCAGGAGAAGTGATAGGTCTTCTAGGTCAACCTCCTGTATTATTCCAAACACAAGTATCGCTTTTTTTTTTTTTCAATTATGCTATTTGCTGCTGCCCTATATGCCGCTGGCATTGTTACTTTGCCCAATAACTTACATTTGGCTGAAGTGTTTCTTCCAGAAAAGCTTGATGTGAAGACGGCGTAAGATGTGGGATTTACTGTTTTCATGTTTTGCCAGAATAAAGTACTTGTACGGGAAGTAGCTTCTCAGTTGTCTTTCACAAGCTGCATCTGTGGATTTTTAAGTCTGTCACTGGGAGATGTTCCTCTGGTGTAGGTTATTGCTCTGCAGATCACGTACATCTTCTCTTGGGTTTACTAGCAGTCCTTTAAAGATGTGAACATCAGATGAGCAGGCAACACTGTGGTACCAGTTTCATCAGCTCTGCTCACAGAAACTAGAAGTTGTTCCTCTTGCTGCTCTTTTGTCCATGTAAGGGCTTCATTAATCTCCTCTTTGAGATGTTGTTGCACTAGGGGCATAAGTTCAGCTCTTCACCCACAGTAACAATGACATAAAATCTCTAAGCACCTGCTTTCCAGGAAAAAACACATCTTGCTCTGTAGGTATTGTTCGTTTCTTAGTTTTGGCTGTAATGCTTTTGCCTCAATAAACCACTGTACGTCTGCATGCCTGTCTTGTCCCACTGATTATTTTCTAGTTCATCAAACTAGGTTTCCCCTTTGAATTTCATCAGTGGTGATTTTTCTTGATTTCCAGGTGAATTAGTGAATAGAATTGAATCCAGTTACAATCTCTCTTCTACCCTGTAAGAACCCTTCTTGGTTAAGGGATAATTTCCCATCACCTGTAACCTGTTGAGGTCAATTGACCTCCCCTTAGCACACATGCCATACTTCAAATACACTTCTGATCTTTCAATCATAATTTATTGATTACCAGGGCCCAAGTCTGGCCTATAGTCTACCTATAGATACCAAGGACCTATCTGGCCTAGTGCCTTTTGCCCAGTCCTTCCTTGGAAGAAAGACTTTCAAGTAGTGAATGCTTCCTAAGCAGCTTTCTGTACCTGCTCACTGCCTCGGGTGGAAAGTTGGGCTGCCACCACCAGAGGAGTAGTGCAGCAAAGGCTTCTTGTCAGAGCCTGCGTGTGTGGCTGTGGTGAGGTGAGGAAAAATGCCTGGACCACACTGTCCTGCAAAGCCGCAGTTGTGTTGCTGAAGCCTGCCACACCAATGCATTTCATGGTGCATCAGCAAACGAGAAGGTCTGTCTTCGTAAAGAGACTTTAAGCAAGAGCTTGCCTGCAGAAAGAGGGATGCTCAGCGACAAAAGGAGAAGAATGGTTGTGGCTACAGACGATGAAAACTTAGGATGTATGAACTCCAGAAAAATGAAGCTAAAAAAATATCTGCCACTTCAGGAAAATCAAGAGGCTAAAAATGAACCCTGAAACACCTCCTGATGGCTTACCAATGAAAAGAGCCCCTGGACAGCCTGCGAGGAAAACTGCAGAGAAAACAACAAAAAAAGAAATCTCTGAGCAAATGAGATGATGCAGAAAATGGTGGTGTGAGTGAAGGTCCTGCAATGGCTTGAAGGGAAAGAAGAGCGAAAGCGGCTAAGTGTAAGTGCATTCCGTAGTGGGAGTGCTCTGAAGTCCCCTTCTAATATGTTTTTTTCAGCTCCTCCCCAGAGAAGAACCTGGCAGAGACTAACAAAAAAAGGGATGGAGGAGACCACGAGGTGAAGAGGAAAGGGGGAGGGATCTCAGTGAGATGTAGAGGATATTGCTGTAAAACTAACAGGTTGGCAGGGGAAAGGGAGAAGGAAGAAGAGGACTTACCTCTTTACTAGATGGTATCAAGCGTGTGGCACCGACCAAATAAATCACAAGAGTGCAGAGAAGTGGACCAAACCTGATTAGTTTGACTGGGAGGAGATTAACCTTTTATATGGGATGGGGAGGGGGGGGTCACATTAAAACCAACACAAGGGAACTTAATAAAAGCAAAAAGCAGAACAACCCAAACCATGAAAACCTTTCCTCTTACCAAAAGATGATTTCAGCCACTCCTACCTTTTCCAGAAAGTCTTATCATTAAGTTGCTGTTTTACAGGATGCATAAGTCTTGCCCAAGGAAGGACTCGGAGATACATGTTTATCTAACTCCCCAGCTAGGCTGTGAGATACTCACCACTGATACACCACTGCACCATCCATTCCCTCTGACATCAGTGTTGGCCATGGACAGATGATTCAGAAGTGTTTCCTAGAGAAGTCCTCATCTGGAAGAGACTGCTTCAGGAGAGAGGCAGATGATGGTAACTAAAGATAGCCAACTATTGCAAAAATCAGTATTTTGACTGATTGTGTGGATCAGTGCAGGATTCAGGCCACCAAAGTCACAGTTGGACAAATGATTACCTTTCTCAACAAACTCCGTCAGGTGACCAACCCCTTCTTGCGTGGTCAGGCCACGTGCAGTTCTTCTTTTGCAATTCAAGTGAATTTGAATTGCAGTTTGCACATCTGTGGTTCCAATCTTTGCTCGTTAGCAAAGTGTTTGCGCC